GATGGTATTTTTAATATGAGACAAAAGAATGTCATGGTTGATATTCTTAATATTACGGAAGGAAAGAGTGCGTTGAGGTTTCTCTAAAGAAAATGTAAGATTGACACTGAATGAAATCATGAGGTGATCAGTAAACGGAAGTTCATCAGAAGAACAGTTAAGAGGAGAGAGTCCAGAGCAGCATAATAAGTCCAAAGTGTGGCCCTTTATGTGGGTTGGAAAGTTAATGAGCTGCTGGAAGCCACAGCTGTCGAGGCAGGATGTGAAGTCTCTGGTGAGGGGGTTGTTGTCTTCATCCATATGAATGTTGAAGTCTCCAAGTCGAATAATGTTGGGTGAAAGAGCTGAGAGATGGGCGATTAGAGCAGCAAAGTCATTTATAAAAGAGTTGTTGATTTTGGGCTGACGGTAGAAAGTGGCAACAATGGTGGAGGTAGGGCCGGAGAGTAGACACACAGTGTGCTCAAAGGAGGGAGAGGGAGGTGTGTGAACCGGCGTGACCTTCCAGTTCTCGCGGTGAATTATCGCGAGACCTCCTCTGTGGCCGGACTCGTGGGATTTGGTGTGGGGTTTGTTTACACCTGTCATTCAGGTGGAAAAAGTCATTTTGTTGTTGCCACGTTTTTGTTAGACAAATAAAATCTAGCTTACGGTCGGATATTAGGTCTTGAATAAGCTAACCTTTGCCAGTGAGTGAGCGAACGTTCAGAAGGCCAAACTTTACGGAGGAGGAGTTGGTAGCGACCGGAGCATTAGCCGACCGAGCTAGGCTAGCTAACCTGCTATTACTGTTAGCGGCCAGAGTATTGGGGCGTGTAGAATGGTGAGAGTCAGACCAGATGGAGTTTATGGGGTTAGACTTGTCAGCGTGGAGTCTACGGCGGGAGCCACGGTGAATGTATCTCCGGCGAGGATGGAAGGCAATGTCCTGAAGAGGGAGCACAGGTGGCACGGCTGGTAGGAAACAAAGGCGAAGGAGCTCAACCGCTGAGTAATGGAGAAGACCAGACGCCGGGTGGTGGTGGATGAGCAGCTGGAGAGTCCAAAGCAGAGCAGGCAGCAGGTAAATCCTAATGAACCACATGGCTGATATTGAGACGGATCAGAGACTTGGTGTAGTGGAAAAGGCAGGAAGGACTGAATAAAACAGAAAAAAGCAAAAAAGCACGACGAGCAGCGGCAGCCAGGATGCGCCAGCGTTCGCTCACCGGAAGGAAGATGATGTAGTCCAGTACCGTTCCTGTGTATGTTTCCATTTCCTGATGTTCACATAAGTCCCAGTTAGTTTGTTCAAAACAGTCTTGTAGGTCATCGAGTGCATTACCAGGCCAGGTTGTAACAGTTTTTGTTGTAGGCCTCGCTCTGCATCTGGGGGGTGGTGTAAGCTGCGGGGAGCAGGAGGGAAAGATGGTCTGACTGCCTGAGGTGTGGGTGGGGTATTGCTCTGTATGCGTGTTTAATGTTCGAGTAAACATGATCCAGAGTATTCTCCCCTCTAGTAGAACACGACATGCTAGTAGAATTTTGGGAGTACAGTCTTCAGATTAGCCCTATTGAAATCTCCTGCAATTATATGAACACCGTCGGGGTGAGCCCGCTACTGTTCATTGATAGTGTTCAGCAGGAGAGAGAGCGCCGTATTTACATTAGCGTCGGGTGGTATATGCACTGCAGTAATTATCACAACTGTTAGCTCTCTCGGTAGAAAAAAAGGTCGGCATCTCATGGACATGTACTCAAGGTCTGGGGAACAATGATTGTCTATAATTGTCCCGTTGTTACACCAGTTCTCATGCACATAAATACAGAGACCCCCCCACCTCTGCTCTTACTGGAGTCCGCAGTCCTGTTCCAGCATAGCAGAGAGCGGCCTGCTAGCTGTATGCTAGCATCGGGTATCCCAGGATGAAGCCAGGTTTTGGTGATAATCAGAACACAGCAGTCATGAACACAGCAGTCATGAACACAGCAGTCATGAACATAGCGATTTCCAGTGAGTTGTAATTCCAAATCATCCATTTTATGCACCAGGGATCTGGCATTGGAGAAATAAAGGCTCAGTAGAGGTGGCTTGTGAGGTTGTGATCCTTGCCTTAGCATAACGCCAGCCTGCAGCCTCACTTCTGCTTCCTCTCCCTTCTCCGTCTGTGCCGCCTCCCAGGCCCGACAACAATCCATGGAGAGCCCGGTGATCTCGCTATGTCGTCTGGGATGTTGTGTGTGTGTAATGAAAGTCACTCAAAACAGGTATTTGTTGCTGCTCACCGATGTCCAAAAGGGTCTGGCATCCGTAGTTGATGTTTATACACTCGGCAATGCAAACACAAGAAAAAAGGACGTACAAAAATAACATTAAAAAGCACTGAAAGGGAGAGCTGTGAGCCGCTGCAACCATACGCGCCGCCATCTTGGAATCAAGCCAACAATCTACATATAAAACACACAAAACAAAGCACAACTAGCTTTAAGCACGTCTCTCAACCATCTGGAGAAGGTAAACACCTATATGAGATGCTCTTCACTGACTACAGCTCAGCATTCAACACCATAATCCCCTTCAAGCTGGTTTCCAAGCTTACCACACTGGGCCTGGTGAAGTCCATCTGTTGCTGGATACTGGACTTCCTCAACAACAGACCACAGACAGTGAAAATCGTCGGTCACCTCTCTTCCGCACTAGTCCTCAGCACCGGTACACCTCAAGGCTGTGTCCTCAGTCCACTCGTACTCATTATTTACACGAGTGTATCCCCAAGCATAGCTCTAACATCATCCTCAAATATGCTGATGACGCCACCATCTTGGGCCTCATCACCAACGAGTGCCTACAGAAACGAGGTTAAATCCCTGACCAGCTGATGTCAGGAAAATTCCTTAGAGAACTTTACTAAATGGGGGCAGCACGGTGGCGCAACTGGTAGAGCTGCTGCCTCTCAGCGAGCAGGTCCTTGGTTCAAACCCCGGTCCAGGGGCCTTCTGGGTGGAGTTTGCATGTTCTCGCCGTGCATGCGTGGGTTTTCTCCGGGTACTCCGGTTTCCTCCCACAGACCAAAAACATGCATGTTAGGCTAATTGGTATCTCTAAATTGTCCCTAGGTGTGAGTGGGAGAGTGAATGGTTGTTTGTCTCGTTTGTCTCTATGTGGCCCTGTGATGGACTTGCGACCCGTCCAGGGTGTACCCCGCCCCTCGCACAGTGATTGCTGGACATGGGCACCAGCGACCCCCGTGACCCAAAATGGAATAAGCGGGTAAAGATAATGGATGGATGGACTTTACTAAATGACTTTTTTATGTATGTGAATGTTTCTGTTCAGTGCCCTGAGACAACTTTGTTGTGAATTGGTGCTATATAAATAAACTGAATTGAAAGTAACCTCTCTCTTAATGTCAGCAAAACAAAGGAGAAGATAGTGGACTTCAGGAAACAGAGTGGAGGTCAGCACGCCACCATCTACATAAGCGACGCTGAGGTGGAGCAGGTCCGCAGCTTCAAATTCCTCTGCTTTCATGTTACTGAGGATCTATCCTGGACTTTATACAAACACTGTGGTCAAGAAAGCCTGACTTAAGACTCTACTTTCTAAGAAGACTAAAGAAGTTTGGTATGAACACCAGCATCCTCACCAACTTTTATAGGTGCACCTTGGAGAGCCTGCTGACAGGCTGCATCGCAGGATGATACGAAACTGCACCGGTCAGAGCCGGAAAGAACTATAGAGGGTGGTGCAAACAGCAGAGGACATCACTGGTAGCAGTCTCCACACCATCCAGGACATCTACCATAGCCGATGTCTGCGTAAAGCATGCAGCATCATTAAGGACCACACCCACCCAGCACAAGGACTCTTCTGTCTACTGTCCTCAGGCAGATGATGTCTGTCATCATGCATGAAAAGACTCAAAGACAAGTGTGCTTCCAGGCAGGTCATGGCATCGATATGCAAGCAACACTCTCTCTCTCACACGCACGCACGCACGCACGCACGCACGCACGCACGCACGCACGCACGCACGCACGCACACACACACACACACACACACACAAACAACTTCCAGGTCACACATTTGATAGAAAACAAATATCAAAATCAAATAAGTGTGCAGGACAGCTTTCCAAAGTTTGATTTTTGATGTGAGGTTAAAGTAAAAAATGCAGAAAATGATGTGTTGTATTTTTTGAATCCCACATAAAAAGGAATAATGAAATAACAAGTAATTTTTCATTTTTTGATTAATGATTCTCTATGGAAAAACAACTGAACGAAGGGTACACTGACCCGGTTGGTAGAGCTGTTGCCTCTCAGCAAGAAGGTCGCCAGTTCAAATCCTGGCCGGGGGACATTCTATGTGGAGTTTGCATGTTATGCCCGTGCATGTATGGGTTTTCTCTGGGTACTCCAGTTTCCTCCCACAAACCAAAAACATGCATGTTAGACTGATTGGTAACTCTAAATTGTCCCTAGAGTGAATGGTTGTTTGTCTCGTTTGTCTCTGTGTATTCCTGTGATGGACTGGAGACGTGTCCAGGGTGTCCCCCGCCTCTCACACAGTGATTGCTGGATATGGACACCAGTGACCCCCGTGACACGAAAAGGAAGAAGCGGGTAAAGATAATGGACAGATGGATGACTGGAAATTGGAATTGACAGTCAAAGTGGCACAGACTTCTGGCATGAGCTTAACAATCAAATTCTAGCAGCTCGAGGCGAGATGGTGTCCACAGAGGCTTTAGAGGACCAACAATCACCATCATGGACTTACTATCACAAACCGTTCAAATTATCCAGCATCTCACCTTTTTAATCCAGTTTAGGATGTAGCTAGCAGATGTGGGATCATAAAGACACAAGGACGAATAGATCTGTGCATTGTCTGCATAACAGTGAAATGAAACATTGTCTTTTTGGAAGGTTTTATTTAAACACAACATGTGCAATAATGTGTAAAACAAAATAGTTAATGATTGTTGTTTTTTTGTCCTTTGTTTGTCCATCATAGGAACGTCTTTTGCTCTCCATTCTACCCAAACACATAGCAGATGAGATGCTGAAGGACATGAAGAAGGAGCCCAGTCAGAAGGAGATGCAGCAGTTCAACACTATGTACATGTACAGGCATGAAAATGTCAGGTAACTTGGCTTCTAACGGTAGAATGTTAGTTCAGAGCGAGTCATCTTCTCACAGATAGCAGTGGCTTTCTCAGAATGGAATTTAAAAATCTTTGAGATCATTTCAGAGAACTCACTGCTACATAAAAGATACCATCAATTTTTACATCTTAAGATTAGATATCAAAAAGGGAACATACGTGTGTTTTATAGTATTCTCTTACTAAAATGGACTAGTTTATGTATGATAGACAAAAATATTAATAAATCATATTTTTTGCATTTATGTAAGGTGGTCCTTTTCCCCCCCAAGAGTAATTATTGCCATAAAGTTGAAGACATATTTCAATGTTAAAAAAATGTATAAGTAGTAGAAAAGATTCAAAGACAGGTTAGAACTTGACTGCAGCAGCATATTGTAGTAATGTGTTGTTTTGTTTGTGTCTTTTGTTGTCATGCAGTATTTTGTTTGCAGACATTGTGGGCTTCACGCAGCTGTCATCGTCCTGCAGTGCTCAGGAACTGGTTAAACTGCTCAATGAGCTTTTTGCTCGCTTTGACAAACTGGCTGCTGTAAGTTTTAAAGCATTCTATAATTAATGATGTTCTAACATGATATGCATTTAGAATGTTTGCCTCTTTTATTTTAAGCTAAGATAATTTTTAATAACATCTGTAAAAAAAAAGAATCAAAGCTGTAAATCTCAATCTCTATCTCTTTTGAAGGTCAGTTACAATAAAAACAAAAAATCAAAACCAGTACATGGGTCACACCATGTCTACCATAGATGAAAGAACCCAAACACGACAAGTTGCATTTTATTAATTTATTGAGCAATTGTTTCCTTTAAACAGTGACATTACTGTCATGTTTTAAATTGTTTAAACAAACAAACAAAAACAAAAAAGAAAAATAATGTACCAAGCAAGAGAACAAATAAAAATGTTTAAAGGCATTATTATACATTGGACGACGTTCTCAAGAAGTTCAGTCTATGTAGTTGAGGTAACGAGCTCGTTTCGGTGAAGCATGATGTCGTGCAGCTTACCAGACTTCAGAGCATCATTTACAGACTGGAGCATTGCAGGTCTGGTGTTCCACCTCATCTCTCCACAGTGACTGGTCCAGCACCTTCAGTAACCTAAAATTGAAAGAAGACAGTGCACAAGTCAAAATAGGGTTACCCTGACTACAAATTACAATTTGTTGGCCTTTCTTTTGGAAAAAAAATATTTTTATCAAAAACAAGAGATTTACAATTGAAACTAAGTAAAAAAAATTTGACCTTTGCAATTATAAATTACAGTAGCTCAATTTTTCTTTATTTCACTTATCATATTTTATAATAACTTGAACAAAGGACCAGAGGACCAGATTGAACTTTTTTGGATTTTTCTACCTGGATTATTGAGCATGCATCAGGATATTTTGACTCAAATATTCAATGGAATATTTGAGGGTGAGAGAATGCCTGTGGAATGGAGAAGTGTGCTGGTGGCCATTTTTAAGAACAATGGTGATGCACATAGTTGTAGTAACTACAGGGGAATTAAACTGAGACACACAATGAAGATCTGGGAGAGAGTTAAGCAAGACTTAGACAAGAGGTGTCTATTTGTGAGCAGCAGTATGGTTTCATGCTGAGAAAGAACACCACAGATGCCATCTTTGATTTCAGGATACTGATGGAGAAGTACAGAGAGGGTCAGAAAGAACTCCATTGTGTCTTTGTGGATTTAGAAAAAGCATATGACAGGGTGCAGAGGGAGGAGGTGCGGTATTGCATGAGGAGGTCTGGAGTAAGAGAGAAGTATGTTAGACTGGTACAGGACATGTATGAGGACAGCAGGACAGTGGTGAGATGTGCTGTAGGAGTGACAGATAGCTTCAAGTTGGAGGTGGGATTGCATCATTGGTCAGCTCTGAGCCCCTTCTTGTTTGCTCTGGTGATGGACCGACCAGTGGTTAATTTGAGTCGGATCCTGCCGGAACAAGATCCGAGAACGCTCTCATTTTGGCTTTGTGTTCTGGCAACTCAAATCTCTGCCCATAAAAGTCCCGTCGTTGCACATTTTTATTTTGATTATTTATTAAAAGTACAACAAGAGGAGACATTGCCCAGTCTGTGGAGTGGATGTTCCAGCCGCAGCACATGCACCAGCTTACTCACACGCTCCTTGGCTTGGAGAGAGCTGAGTCTCTGGAGGAGGGGGGTGGGGGTGTTGAGGACGGAGGAACAAGATTGCATTTACGCACGGAGGTGCTGTAACTGAAAAATTTAAAATCTATTCTGATACGTACAGGGAGCCAGTGAAGGGAGAACAGAACTGGTGAAATATGATCAAATCTACAAGTTCCTCTTAAGAGCCGAGCTGCAGCATTTTGGACGAGCTGGAGATGTGAAGGGGAGACCTGACCTGACTGACCCCAACATAAAGCATGTTATAGTAATCTAGTCAGGTTGTAATGAAATCAATCGTCAGCATAGCAGTGAAAAGAAAGACCATGTTTCATCAGGATAGACCCTGTACTTAAACAATTTAACATTATTTAGGATCCGAACTCATTAGTGTGGTGTTTCCAAGTAGCAAAAATCACTCATTAAATTACCCTCATAGGCCATGATGTTGCCACTTTTCTCATGTTCTTCTTTCACTTCAACAGCCAGGCGATAGAGGAGCAGCAATGTCAACAGGATGGAGGGATTTCAGAGTGAACAACGGTGACAAATGCAGTGGACTGCAAATTATGATTCAAAAAGATGCCAGTAGGATGAAAAAAATCTAGAATGCATTATTAATGCAAGCAATTTGATAAAACATCCAAAAAAGAAATGGCACAATCCTGAGTTCAAAGCAGGAGAGGATTCTGGGAATATATCAGTCTGAGCTCAAGCTACTTCACTATCTCACCATTCAACAACAGAGACTTTTGGAAAATACTGTTGCTCTCCTGACTCTTTTTACGTAATTAACAAAAAAAAGTAGGCTCCTCTGATTTTTAAACATATTTCAAAGTAATTGTAGGAAGTGTAATGGCATTTATTAGTACCAGTGATGTGCAGTGATGTTTACGTAGTCCGACAGAATCAGATTTACAAACGCCTTAAAAATGAGGATGCACACACATCATGCTGTATTTATTCTATTATAAATACAATTATTATTGACAGAAAAATTGGAATACCTCCAGTTTAAAGGAATTTCTGACTACTTGCACATATTGGCATTATTATGTTTTTCCCTTATTCCACCAAAGGTTGTTAATTGTGACGTTAAAACACCTAATTACTTTAAAAACTATATATTTGAATTACTTTTTTTACTTTATTATTTTACATGCACAATGCATTCTAGGGTGATAAGTTGTAGTGAAGACCAGAGCACAAGGAGTCTAGGCTAAAATGTTATAATATATGACTATAAAGTTATAATTTGTCCATCCTTGCATGGATATGGGATGAAACAGTCAAACGTGATCAACTTGTGATGTTTAGTATATCATCTCTGGAGATAATTCAAAAGCTAAAGGGCTAAAGCTGATGCCTTCCCCCCACTAACCAGCTCTACTGTCACGTGTGCACTACTATGATTATTTTGTGGTGGTGCACTCTGTGGTCCAGGTGGAAAGAAGTTTTCTTCACATTTGCAGCACATCCACAATTCAAATGACAACATGAGGCAGATAATGGATGGATGGGCTGATGTGTGAAGTGACAAATATTGTTAAAGTTTAAAATGTGTCATAGGTCTATCCCTAATTTATACCGTCACTTCAGACCCGCTGCATTCATGACCGTTTTCCTTCTAAACAGCAGGTATAGGTACTGAAACAATATGCTATGTAGCAGGAAAGGCACGAAAGGAAGTAATGCGTAGAAAATACATACTTTACACAAAAATATAAAATTTCTTCTTTCTTATTTATGTAATGAAGTTTATGAATTATCTGTAAGGATTACATCTTTCTGGTTTTTGTTCAGTCTTATGTATGTTTGTAAAAACAAACTTACCTACAGATATTTTTATTTATTTAAACAGAAAACGTGTGGCTTCATACAGTGTCACTTTAAAATAACCGTTTTACTGGAAATGTGTTTTATTTATTAGGTATTGTTTCAATATGACATTGGTGTTTGGTACAGTAAAAAAACAACAATAATTTTGTTGTGGTACTGGGTTGATATTTACTGTGAAATATCAGTGAATCAAATATCATAAATAAGTTCAGTTACTACTTGTTTTGTCAACAAAAAAAAACACTTAATGGAAACACATTATAAATAATCTGTAAATAAAATATACATTTGGTTAAACTTCTTGTTTAGGATTAAAATTAAAATTTAAGGCTTGTGACTTGGACAAGTCAGATAATGAATACACACAGTAATACACAGGTTTGTGGTCAGAGCAGATTTAAAAACAAAAAGTTTTTCTGGTCTAATAGAACAGAACAAAAGCCCTTATCAGTCATATCTTTTCTAAGCTTTTTTTATCTGAAACTACAGAACAAACAAAAGCAGTGTATCGTTCACTCTTTGTACATTCTTGGGTGCATTTCCAACCCAATGTCCCATATCTTCACAGAAATATCACCAGCTTAGGATCAAGATCTTGGGAGACTGCTACTATTGCATCTGTGGTCTTCCAACCTACAGAGAGGACCATGCAGCTTGCTCCATCATGATGGGCCTGGCCATGGTGGAAGCTATCTCGTAAGCGTACACAACCATGTCTGTCTTTTATTTTTTATTTTGTAGTCTGAAATTTAAATAATGTTTAAAACTTTTCTATTTGGTGCTTCTATAACATATCTTGTAATACAATAACTTCTTACTATATTTTAGAAATTTCTTCACTGCATGTTGATGGATTAAATCCTGTTTTTTTAACCTAACCATTTCCAACAATGATTGCTTCTTTGTGTTTGTGGGTGGATGCGGGAAGCAAATGCAGCAGACAGTATTCATCTTAAAAGTATCTTGGTAGTGTAGACATGGTCTTCCTAATTCGTTTGTGCTAAATTTGGAAGTAGACTGATGTGGCAACAGAGTAAAGAGAAAACATCTGAGTACACATCCCTGAGGAGTCCCGATGCATATTTTAGTTTCTCACAGAGGCAGTTTAGATTTGTTGCTACAAATTCATTTCAGGTGATTTGACTGTAATACATTCAGACATCTAAATATATTTTTTCTTGACATTAACATTGTTCAGAAGTATTTGAATCATTCTTTTGTAGTTTTGTTGCTTGATTACCGGTAAGTTCAATTTCCTGACAGAAGTACTACAAGAGAAGAGAGGGCACATATAACTAAAATCATTTGTGACTTTACAGAGCTTAGTGCCAGCACAAAGACTGAAGATTTTTACCCAAAGGTCTATGCTCAGACTGTAGTCCTCTTTTTGACAGCACATTACTGTATATCTTGCAGTGACCACAATGGGTCCAAAAACAATTAGAACAAATATATCATAAAGAAACCCACCCATATAATGTCCTTTAATCCAGTTTGATTAATAAAATCAGATGTGGTACTGAGAAGGATTTTGTTAAACAGTTCATTAAAACCGTTGAAAGCTAAACAAAACTAAGAATTAAAACAACCATATTTTTCAGAACATTCCCAAAGATTCTTTTAAAATGATCTTTAATCAGCCAGCAGCTGAGATACTTTTTATTTAATCCCAAGATGTCCTCTGTGGCTTGTGTGGTGTCACATCATGCTCAGTGCGAACCATACAGCATACTAGTATTTATTACTTCACGTTTTTGCAATAGTTTTAATCATCCTGATTTCTTAGTATTTTGCAAAAGAAATGCATAATAGATGCAAAGATTTACCAAACGTGCACAAGTAAAAATATACAGTACAGTAGTCCCTCGTTTATTGCAGGGGATATGTAAAGTGAAGCCATGCAATAAGTGAAAAATCTCGAAGTAGGAATATTAGTACAAGTAGTAAGTAGTAGTTTATTTTAGTATTTATATATATACATATATATATACAGTATATGTATAAAGGTGTTTTAAACCCATCCCACACTCTTACAATATTCTAAACAATGTTTCTGTACTCTAAACGCTCTAAAAGAGCACAGAATGTCATGATTTCATCTCCCTGCTATGGCTGCACTCTGCTACCTGCCAGTGCTCTCGGCCACGCTCACTTTTCCATGCACAAAATTCCATGACTATCGTGCGGCTCATCCATAAATCAGCCAATTGTGTGTCATGTCCAGTCTTACTTTGAAAAACCGCAATAGAGCAAGTCTGCGATAAACAAACCGCAAAGCAGCGAGGGACTACTGTATATGAAATGTGGCTAAATATATTTTATGCAGTAATAAGGTTGGAGAGGCTTGTGACCACCTCTTGACCTTATTTGTAATTTTGGAAGGAAAAAGAGACTTAGTTCTATGTGCTGTCATTTCAAGCTGTTGCTACCTTCAGCTTTTTGTTCATCATAGGTATGTGCGAGAGAAAACCCAGACTAACGTGGACATGAGAGTGGGAGTGCACAGTGGTACGGTCCTAGGAGGAGTTCTGGGCCAGAAACGATGGCAGTACGATGTCTGGTCCACAGACGTCACTGTGGCCAATAAAATGGAAGCTGGAGGTATTCCTGGGTAAGAACAAGTTTTGCCCAAATGCTAAAAGTTAAACTTTATTTTTTTAGCACGTGTCCTGATGCATGCTCAATAATCCAGGTAGATAAATCTAACAAGGTTGTTAGGTCCTCTGGACAGATTCTTGTTTGTTGAAAGGTTTTGTCTTTTATCCAAAAGACTTCTTCAGTTTGAGGAGCTACAAGTCTTATAAGCAGCACCTTTACATAGTGGATCAACCAGTTTACTGGTGACAGCTAAAACTAGTTGTTTACATAAAAAAGGAGTCCGCGCTGCTGCTGCTGTATCTGTGGGCCAGGACAGTGTCATTTTTGTCTCTGTACTAGCATTCAGCCAGCAAACTGAATGTGTAGTTGCCCTATCCCTTTTTTGCTCAGAAATCACTGTAGTTTGTGACATTTTACCTCCATTCTGAGGTAAAATAAACACCTGCACATGTTCCCAGACTTAGCTGCGGTGCTAACATAATCATGTCTACCCATGTCACATTATTGGACTATGGACAGTATTTGGATCTGTACAGCACAAAAAAGCTAAACTGGTCAATATTCCTATCATGGAGCCATCACTGGCAGCGTATTTGGTCCCATCATCCAACCATGATGTAAACCGTTCCATGACACTTCCCTCCAAGAACTAGATTTTCCATGGCTCAGATGGAAGGAATCTACTTAGCTCAAGTGACTGCTGCTAGTGCTCAAAGCTCCATTACTAGATGGGAAAGTGAAATGTCTTCAGCCACAGAATAGAAGTCCAGCTGTTTCGTTTAGAATGTTGTATAGATCCTCTATTTCTATATGCTTCAGACATACCAGACTATTCAACTGGTGGAGCTCGTAGCTCAACTGCCCACAGGGAGCTTGAACACCTCTTCAAAATGAGGTCAGGAACAATGAAGATAGCACTCTTCATGTCTCCTGCTGTAAAGTATTACGCCTAGACAAAAGGATGGCATCAACAATAGTAGCAAAGAGGCAACTGTGGCTGGCATCCTCAGTACCCCAGACAGGCGTAGGGCCTGTTAACTTGATGAATCACTGGTGGCTGATGGCCGGTTTGGACAATCTCTCAGTCCCCTATAGGCAAACATTTGAGCCTAGGAAGAAGCAGACTCGAGCGATGTGTTGTATCATTCCTATATGCGATGTGGGACCCAAGCCCACCAAGATCAGTCAGAAATCTGCTGTACCTCCACTGAAGACAACTGCAGTTTGTGAGCTTGAGCTCCCAGCTGGCACAGCCACAAACTCACTGCCAAGCTCTCTGCCAGTCCCCTTCTGAGTCTTCAGGGATACTCGATATCTCAGAGGAAGAAGACACAGTCCTACTAGCTCTGCGGGTCTGCAAACACAAGGACTTAAGAGCAGAACACACACACGAAGTCTGTCTAATCTTTTGCCTATTATGTGTGGATCAGTCGGGTTCACATCTCACAGAGTACCATGGAATGTCTTCATGGAGAGTTTGATGTGGAGCCTGGAGATGGAGGTGACCGCTGTGACTACCTGAGGGAGAGGGGGATTGAGACCTACCTGGTGATTGTTCCTAAAGGGCCTGTGGGAAAGAACGGCATCAGTGGTGTGGTCAGTTAAACTTTCTAACACATTTAAAACATGTTAATGTTTATTTGCATGCAACCAGGGATGACAGTTCTATGGATTGAGTACAAAAAAGTTAAATCAGATCATCTGGACAGTTTCTTTCTTTTTTTTTTTCCCAATATCTAATGGTGACTAAGGGGCCGTTTACACGGCGCGTATTTTGAGTGCATCTGCAGCTTTCTCTCTGCGGTTCTGCTGTTCATTTTCACGACATCCACCCCCCCCCCCCCCCCCCCCCCCCCCTTTTGAATCCTGAGGTTTCTGAACCCACCTTCCAGAGTGGAGGTTTTTCGCTGACCGCCCGATGATAATGTAAACATCTCCCACTGAGGCTTTGTGTTAAACCACATGCACGCACGCACGCACGCACGGTCAAACAGATGGCATATTTCTATCAACATGGTGGCGGACACAATGCTTTCTGAACTACGACTGATGGAATATATTTTTTAATCTCGTAGTTAATCTACGTCAGATTCCAGGTGCTGTGACCAACATCCGTGTTGGAAGATACACAGTCTGATCCAGTTCTAATGTCGCTGTTTTTAGAACGAGGCACGTGCACACGTCGCGCTGCACTGTAACATACTAAATGTGCTAAATAATAACAGTTTAATAATCATAAACAGTATTTATGTTGGTGTGAGAGATATAATGAAGCTCTGAACTAAATTAAGCTATCTGGACATTATGTAATTCAAATTTAAAATGATGCTAAACATTGCGTGTTACTAAAGTTGAAAATGAAGACATCAGGTTTAATTTTTATTTATTTATTCAACACCACAAACTGTATGTCACACAAACACTGATAATTTCACTGAATACACTATTAAAAACAAGTTAGCTGTAAACTGCATTAATGAACTGGACTCTCCTCTGTTTTCATCCTGGAATCTGGTCCCACATTGTTCATCTGGCTCGTTCAGGCTGTCACTCCTTTGATTAATGCAACTTAAAACATTGAATGGACTGAATAAAAGAAATGAGGGAAATTATAAATAAATAGTTCATCCAATATCTCTCTCTTCGACGTCCTCCTGCACTGCACCTGGGCCGAGCCTCGTTCAGAACCGGTCCGCCTGGTGGGAGGACAGCTTCTTCTTCTTTCAGGAAAAATAAAAATAAAAATTCAGTTGGTTGTTGTGTGATCAAAGTAAACACAAGCAAACATTATTAAGAACATTGATTTACCTGCTGTAAATCCTCTACTGATTATCACGGAGTAAAGTCCAACATCGTCGACTCATTTCTGGTCCACTCAGCGACCGGTGTGGAGCTGAAGCGGTCACGCTTGGCATCAGATCTGTTGACTCTTATCCAAAGTTCAGCCAAAATCCAGCTTTAACTTGTTAAATTGTTGTTAGCTGAAGTTTTAGCCCAGAGGAAAGGAGCGTGCTGAGGCAGCACGCATGCGCATTAGGTGAAGGTACAAAATTCACAGCACCATCTAATGACCCGGTATGGTAACTACAGCGGATTCAGTCGGGCGGGGGGGATTCCTCCGGATGCATGTAAACACAAAATCCGTCCGTGTCAACGCAAATCTTTTCCTCTAATTAACATACAAAAAAAACTACGTTTCCCCCCCATCGTGTCCGTGTAAATAGGGCCTAAAGGTCAAACTGTTTGGTGATCAAATGCCAGAACGTTTGTTGGTTAGTTGCTGAACTAGTTAGTAATTAAAAGTAAAATCATTTGGTGAATAAGGATGAACCATGTAGTTACAGGCTGAACATATTGTGAATCTATGCTGAAATATGTCACGTTTAGCTGCTTATGTATCTTGAATTAAGCAGATCATTAACAGTTTGTTCCGTATTGTATGTACAACACCAGAGATCCACAAAGCTAGCACCTTCCTGAACATCTGCAACTAATTAGTTATAAGCTTTTATATTTATACATCCATTACATCCATCCACATTAAATGGTAAATGGATGTACTCAAAGCTCTATACAGCACAATTTGTGTCCTCATTAACCCATTCATACATCACTCTATTATTCTTTTCCTTCAACCTTTATTTATACAGATAAATCACATTGAGCCTTGAAGTGGCTACAAGTGGGACCTGTTTAGAGAGACAAAACATAATGAAAGTGACTCGTACAGGATTTGGAGGCAAAAAAACTTCCTATCAAACTTACTCCTTGGCCAAGGAGAGAGGGCCTGAGATTGAAAAAAAACCATCCTGCACATAGACACATAGTGACGCAGACATTTCATAGGAGAGGGGCGATGACAAGTGCGTTGATCATGTCAAGGACACTCCAGAAGCACTGTAGGAGTTCTGATAAGAATGGTATAATCAACCAGTTCCCTCTGGTGAGATCCGTTAACACTCTCGTGCTCTCGTGCCAAGGTCAACCTAGGACGGCTCCAAAGAGAATCCAAGAGTACTGAAAAGATGACACGTTTATTCAGCTGGGTCCCTCTGATAGGACTGCAGGCTTCCTCGGTGGGAAATGGGAGGGGGCAGAGTGTCGCTTTATGGGGCCTCCTGGCAAATTGAGATAAGGTGGCCTGTCAAGGCCAGGCGGGGAGCCGTATTCAGATAAACAACATTTGTTTTGGGAACAGGCAGAACTTTATTGATTCATGTCTGCCTTGAGTCTTTGCTGGTCCTTGTCATTCCCCAAGTTGTTACGGAAGCACGACCCATAGTGTAGCTCATTTACGCATGCGCTAAAAGGAATACCTTCGGGTTGCACAGATCGCCGTTGAATACGCTAGATTAAGGAAAATGTACTGGTATAACTCCGTTTATGAATAAAAACTGACTTAATTTACTTAGAAAAGTATGTACTCTATCTCCGCTGATTTTCTTGTTGCTTATTTACTCCACTCCATTAAAATCATTGACATATTTACGTCATGGTTAAAATAATATGCAGCTTCACCATTGAGCAGCGCTGTTGGAAATAATTTATTCTGTATCTTGCAGGGTTTTTCTCATTCAGCTCAGGTTGGGGATCAGGTCTAATGCGTTGCATATCATCTTAACCATGATTTATAACAGAAATACGAGTGCCGTAAATTAGCTACATGAAGATCGGCAGAGATAGAGCACATACTTTTCTAAGTAAATTAAGACGGTTTTTATTCATAAAACAATGGTGATCCATGCGACCCGGAAGTACACTACAGGTCATGCTTCCGTAACAGATCAGGGAATGACAGTCCTCACGAATCCCAAACGACCAAATTTAGTGGACACCACTGGTCCGTGCCTGAGAGTATTCCCCGAGATCTGAGCCATCCTGCCTGCGAATCCTAGGAGCCACAAGTGGCCTGCGATTCTCACAAATCACATTCAATTTACGGTTCAGTTTACTAGATCTGTACAAAGACTAATCAGTGCTTAATCATATTCATACACCGATGGAACACACATCAGAGGCAATGAGGGGTTCAGTGTCTTGCCCAGGGACACTTCAACATGTGACTGCTGGTGGAATCGAACCCCCAACTCTCCCATTGGAGGACGGCTGCTCTAATCACTCAGCCACAGCCGCCCACATTACTAATACAATAAAAATGATGTATTACGATAAAAGAAATGTTTGAAATGTGGTTTACTGCTTCAGTGTTTTTCTTTGTAATATTTACATACTGTAGGTATACAAATCACAACATTTATAAGACTTACAGGTCATTAAAATTTATAATTAATAAATTGATTAAAATTAGAGCAAAGTTCACAGTTTACCATAGAAAGAACTGGTTTATTTATAGTCTTAGTTTCATATCAAGAAAGGAAGTTTAGAGTTTTTATGAAAACTGTTCTGTTTTAGAAAGCTTTAATTTTGAACAGAATGAAATCATGATAAATAAATAAGCTGAATGTCAGCTTTGCCTTATAATTCCATTCTGTTTGCTTGTTTCACAACAGAAGCTGTCTGTAACCTCTTCCAATGGAAACTCCCCACTTTTAATCAACACAACAGAGTGTAACGGCAGTGTGAACACAGCCTGCACAACACCGGAGGAACCAGAGGAGCTGGACACCAGGGTGAGCATGGCTAAGACAATTCACTTTGTTGATCATTTGCAATCTGTTTAGCTCTGAGCTGAGAAGATTATTCATTTAAAAACATAAAAAAGACAAGGACATGAAGGGTTTACCTTTTTTTAAACAGATTTATCATCAGCTTTGCAGGAAACATTAGTGAAATTTGATGTCTGTCTCTGAGACTAATCTTAACATTTTGTTCCAAGTTGGGCTGAAAAGCTCACAGAACATCCATCATGGAAAGTTTGCTCAAACTGGGGCTTTAATATTCCAAACAAATTTACAAGAGTTATTTCATTGAATTAAACATTTTTATATATGTCGAGTAATTGTGAGTGACAGAACCAAAACATAAGATTAATACAATTAGCAGCATTCCTTAAAGGAATACATATCCACCGCTGTCTTATGTGCTAAAGTTTTGAACAGAGATTTTGTTAGTGCTGGGAGTGTGTGTTGAAGATTCATTCAACCTTTATTTAGACAGGTAAATCCCATTGAGCCTCGAGGACTCATTTACAAGAGAGACCAGATTTCAACAAAAAATGATAACAATGGACAACAGCGACAACAATAAACAGTTATAAAAAGTCATACTACACTTTTTTTTATAACAAATAGGATGGCTAAAAGAAAAAGGTAACAAAGAAAAAAAAAACTGCTAGATTCTAAGGCGAATGTAGAAAACTAAAAACAGGAACATGTCTGCATTGGTCCCTGCCAGGAGTCCAACAGATTCTTAAAGCCACTTAGAGAGGTCAAGGTCGAGAGCTTCAAATCTTTTTGTAAGATATTCCAGGAAACAGGAGCAGAGTAGAAGAAGGCCCTTTTGCCTAGTTCAGTCCTCATTGAGGGAACTTTGCAGGTAATAATGTCCTGAGAGTGCACTCCATAGCTGCACTCATGCAGAGACATGTAGGAGGAGATGTATGAAGGCAGCAGACCAAGAAGTGATTTAAAGATGAAAATGTACCAGTGAGAGAGTCTGCGTGAAGTTGATGATGTCCAGTTAACCAGTGAATACAGGGTGCAGTGGTGGGTAAGATAATCACAGCCAGTTATGAATCTTAGTGCACCATGATAGACAGCATCCAACATCTGCAGGGTTCTTGTAGGAGCGTTCATGTAAATAATGTCACCGTAATCAATGGAGGGAAGGAAAGTCACAGTTAAAAGGCGTTTCCTAGCATTCAGGGTTAGACAGGATCTGTTTCTAAAAAAGAAACCCAGTTTAACTTTCAGTTTCTTTACCAAGTTTTCCACATGGAGCTTAAAAGAGAGATGTGTGCCGACCAAGATACCCAAATATTTATAGGAATCAACAAACTCAATGGGGACACCATTTGAGGATAAAATCGGAGGAAGAACTGCTGGGACAAACTTCCTATTAGAAAAAAGCATCCCTTTGGTTTTGTCGGCATTTAGGACAAGTTTGAGGCGGAACAAATCTGTCTGGATGTAGTTGAATGCAGATTTCAAAAGCTGGAAAGCCTTAGCAACAGTTTTAGCTCGACAATAAACAACTGTGTCATCAGCATAGAAATGTATGAATGTATCAGGGATGTTTTTACTACATTATGTATGTAGATTGTAAAGAGGGTGGGTCCTAAGACTGAGCCTTGTGGTACACCATTGTTGACTGTTAAATAACTGGAGGAAGTACCATTATGTTGAACACATTGCTTCCGGTCCGAGAGATAGTTAAGCCTGGTATCCACAGGTCTGGTTCTTGTTGTAGCCTGTTGTGTCCGGTTCTAGTGGGGCCTCTATTTTTGTGTCTCCACTTTGCCTATAGTTCCCGTTTAGTGGGCGGATTGTTCACCTCTAGTGGGCGGATTATTAATATCAACGCACCTTACCAGCTGGTGGCGGTAGTGCTACATTAAGCTCTTTTCTAAGCACCACTAACATGTATTAGAAGAAGAGCTGGAAAACAACACACAACCAAAATGGATGACCTCCGTGAACTTGAAGCAGAACCAGCCGCACAGCCCGTCCTGGTCGCTGTCCCGCAAGATGGAGAGCAGGGCCGAGGTGTCAGAGATGCTCTGATGGAGTACCTCATGAGCTGTAACTTATTCTAATTCCACCCCTTAATCTTTTTTACCTCCCCAGCCTTCCTTAGATACAAGTGAACGTTAAAGTGTTGATTTGAAAATAAACATGGATTAATAATTATTCTTGTTTGTTTAATGTACAGACATGTCTTTTTACCAGGTTCGTGTAAAAATGGCTAAACAAACACTGCTGCTGTGCTTCTATCACATATGCTGCGTTTTTTAGTGGCTGTAGTTTTAGAAAAACTGTATACTCCTTAATTTTTGTTTTTAACAAAGAACCAAAACCTACAACAAGAACTTTATATTTGTTTATGCATATATACATTAATCTATTTTAATATTTATATATATATATATGTCTTCAGCCAGAGACTTCTTCAGATCCCTTGTAAGACAGACGCTACAAGAGATCCTTCCTGCCCACAGCCATCAGCATCTAGAACAACTCTTTAATGAAACCAGGATGATGAGTTACATTTAATTTCCCTCTGGGATCAATAAAGTCTTTTTGTAATTTGATTTGTATATATGTATGTATGTATGTATGTAT